ATGGAAAGAAAAACATATATATTCAGAACGAAAAAAAAGAGAGAAAGTAATAAAAGGCGTTAGTTCCCACGTAAAACCAGTTTTTCGTCTATTTTTCGAAAACTAGACGAGACACCAAAAAAATAGATGCCGGATTCGGAATCTACGTGCAAAAACCGACCAGAATATGTATACGATTTCCTTAGACACAGATTTAGGTGCTGACGGAGTTCCAGACATTTCTAACAAAGAAGAAGCCTTAGAATATCCATCTAAGCTTGTATCAAGCACTGCTGTTACTTCAGTTCAGTATACTTGTTCAAAATAGAGCAGATATAAAATATCTACATTAACTGATATCGCTAGATACCTTAATATTGAACAGTCATGTGAAACAAGTATTATTCGTGGTAATGTTGTTCGTGATAACTTGATGCTGACAGTATCACGTGACACTAATAAAGATGGTGCATTGATTGGTCTTCTATCGAGTAAGCAATATGAATCAATGTCAAGTATTATCATTTATTGTAATCGACGTGAAGAAACCGAACGTGTGGCTTCATTGATTCGACGTGCATTTCATAATGATGGAAAAACCACACAACAGTCAGCTGACGCCTATCATGCTGGTTTAAGTCCAGCTGAACGTCGTCGTGTAACAAAACAATTTATGCGTGGTGATATAAAAACTATTGTGGCAACAATCGCATTTGGTATGGGTATCAATAAACATGATGTACGCTCGGTTATTCATTACAATATGCCATTGAACTTTGTATGTTATTTACAAGAAACAGGACGTGCTGGTACGTATTTGATTAAAAGTCTCATTAAAAATTGAAGAATAAAATTTTAGAGAAAGTATTGTTCAGCCGGAATTTTCAGGCTAATATGAATTTAAACGAATATGTACAGTTTTATCTTTCCATTTGTTTAGGTCGTGATAATAAACCAGCGTATTGTCATGCATTCATTGATTATCAACAAAATGAGATAAATGAACTGAAAAAACACATTTACAGTAATGATATTGATCGTTCAACGATAAAAAAGCTGATTAATAAATTGATTCAGAAAATTGAATTATATAAATTAAAAACATGTTCATCACCATTGATTGATTCTCATATGATTGAAATTGGCCTACCAATGCAACAATTAATTGATGAACTTGATATTAAAGAAGAAACAATCTTAACAGCTTTATATATACTCGAAACATTAGAAACAAATTTTTTACATGTCCTCTCACCCTGTTATTCCATTTGTACAGTGAAACATTATGGTGGAAAAAAACAATTGGATAATTTAATTGAAAGTTGTGAAGCATTAAAAACAGCCAAATCATTTTTAATTGATACAAATGAATTTACATTTTCCATCATGGATATGTGTACAGCTAATGGTTGGAATTATTTAGCAGTTCGTCGAGAATTAAAAAAACTTGAATGGTCTCAGGGGAAAAAAACAGGCGTCTATATTGAGATATCTAATTTAGCATTTCATTTGGAAATATCACCGAGAATATTATTGAAAGATACGGACCAAGATCGAATTATCGACTTTTGTTATGACAAACTCCATGAAAAAGTAACAGAACAATTAATCCATTTCGATACACTCTATGATTTATTTAAACGCTGTTCATGTCCAAATTATTTATCATTGATTAATGAAGAATACGAAGTGACTAAAGTCAGTGAACAATTGCATACTTTTATAGAAAATTATTTTCAAGGAAAAATTGATTTAAAATCATCAATACTGCCACTAATAAAAACGGATAATAAAAAATTGGATTATGATGAAACATTTATACGCAATGAAATTCGTACATTCATTAACTTGTATTCAGATGAACATCGTTTAACACCAAGAGCTATTGCACGAATATGTCATGGAATTGGTAGTCCACAATATCCCGTACCAATATGGAATAAATGCAAACGATTTTGGCGTTCACATTTAAATGTTGATTTTCAATTATTATTCGCATTTGTACAAGATGAACTGGTTCGTTGTTCAACAAATAGAAAATGATAATTTTTCCTGCACCAAATCTTTACATGTAAATATTTTTCAGTATATTTGTCAAAGTCATGCGTATAGAATGAATAATAACCAAAAAGTTTAATTTAACTCTATTTGTTTTCTGTAGTTCATATTATTGAGCATTTTTCTACGTGCAATAAAAGACTTTTTATACTGCTGTACATATAACAACGCAAGAATTTATCATGATCAAAAAAATTTAAGAACAAACATTTTCAAAAAAATTTATGATAAAAATTATATATTACCCGAGAGTATGAAAGTAAAAACGTCTTGAGACACATGGAATACAAAACGGTTTTGGTAAAATCTGAACGAGATCAGAAACGGTGAAATATATAAGATGAAGAGATTGTTTCATCATAGAACTTAAACCTAAGGACACCCCTCTCTTTTTTGAAAAAATTTCGGATTTTGAGTTGGGTATAGCCTAATGTAGTGGAAAGTATGGGCTAAAAAATGAGACCACTCCCAGCACTCCACGACCTTTCTTCAAAAAGTTATGCAGTTTTGAAGTTTTTTCTTCAAAGCCTAAAAAAACTCAAGTTTTTAGTTTCATAAACTTTTCTCTCCTTTTCTGTACATTCAAAATTTTTCTTACGCATAGTCTGATAGAAGAAAGTGTTTTCTTCACAATGAGACGTTTTCCAGAATTTTCTGATGAGTCTTCGTGGAGATATAAGCTCCGCGGCAAATGCGGTGGCCTGCGTACAAAATGCGTTTTTTCTCGAAAACTATTTTTTTGCTACCGAGCTTCATTGGACCACATCACTGCACTGGTATATGGACTGATAGGTAATGAGTCATCCTTTTAACAGCAGATTATGCGCTTGAATTATAGATCACCTCCGAAGAAATTCATTGGATAAATAATTTAAATTAAATGAAGATTCTAATTAGAAATTGTTTATCGACTTCGGTTTTTTGCGACAAACACTTTCTAATTAGAATCTTCATTTAATTTAAATTATTTATCCAATGAATTTCTTCGGAGGTGATCATGGTCTCCAATTGTTCTTAGGGATGGGTGGGACTAAAAATTTTGCTTCGCAGAAAGTGGCTGGCGAAAAAAGTTTTCAAAATTTTTGGCAGGAAGTTCTAGGGTTTCTAAAATTTAAAAACTTGGTTTTGAAAGTTTTTCGGTATTTTTCCTATAACTCGGTAAACTAAGGTCTAAAAGAAAATTCCAAAATTATACCTCTGCACTATGGCCTTGAGTACCTCTGGTAAGATTTTTAACTCGATCGGATGAAATTTAAGGGGGGGTCGTAATGTGATCCGATGAAAAACCGAGTTTTCTGGACAACTGATGAACGGCAATAGTTCAAAACATGAAACAAAAACGAAAAAGTGTTCCATTGAGTTTCCGATCAGTTCTGAAAATATGAAATCTTAGTGAGTTTTAGTTTTTATTTCACAGCATTTCTGCAAAAAGCCCAAAATGAGGGGAGGGATACCCTTAAGTGAACGTCTAACTCTCAGTTGATCTTAGTTAAGTGTCGACTTAACTTTGTTTTTTGACTTGAGGTTATCTCGAGGTCATAGAACATGATCTTAAGTTACGTTCTGACCTATCTTCGGCTGCGACGGTGAACAACGACACACTAATATAACTGAGGATTATCTTGTTAGCTTAAGAATATTCGTGAAATACCTCTCAGCATCTCCATTACTTTGCAAATTTTATAGAAGCAAAGAACTTTCAGCATCTTTTCTTCTGTTTTATCGGCTGCGATGGCCGAGCGGTTAAGGCGTTAGACTTGAAATCTAATGGGATCTTCCCGCGCAGGTTCGAATCCTGCTTGCAGCGTATCTTTTTTTCCTTTTAATATAGTTTCTAAGTTTTCTAATGTTTCTCTTTCTATAATCGACAAGAACAGAAGAAACTTTTATTTTTAAACACTTTGTTAACTACGTATAATCTTCAGTTACAGATTTGCGACGCATAAGTGAATAATATTTGATCGGAAGAAAATTGTTCTTAATAAAACTACGAATACAATCAGACATTAGATAATAGTCCATTCCTTAATGCAATCATAAGTATAACATGGCACAAACGACTCAATATCGACGAACTATGTGTATTTGACTTTAAATAAGTGTGTCCTTTTGAAATCGATACAAAATCTTCAACTGAATAATGTTTAATTATCCTTAATTTGACTTTCACTGGTAGACGTTCTTGTGGGTATTCTTGTAAGATTCTTGTCTCTTGCCATTTCACACAAGAATCCTCAATTTTGTCTTGATGTCAGGCACGATTCTTCTTTTAATCTTTTATTGATTTTTCATCTTGTTTCATTAGAGATCCTTGTCTGAACTAGCAAGATTCGTTGACGACACAATCACCAATTTGTTTTGTTCCCGTGCTATATATAAGTTACATAATATAGCTCAATACTATACATAGACGTCTTTAAAAAGTCTTTTAAATCTCATAAAATTCCGATTCCGAGTTAGGATAAAATAAACTTGCAAAAGTTCAACTATTAACTTCGATAATAAAAGAGTAGATCGTTTTTGGTGTGCACCTGAGTATATAATCTCAGGTCATGCGATACGTAAGATGTTGAAATGCATTAAGTCCCCTCCTCCCCGGGTCAGAAACCTATCTCAGCCCGGGTACGTCTGATCTGAACCAAACTTACAGAGAATGTTGCTTATGTCAAAGTGTGGTAACGAAATTTTTTTTTGGCGTCACTGGCAACTGTTCCTGAGAGGGCGTCACAACAAGCGCGAAAAATAGGCGTCTATCACGCACAGGAATTCTCATTCCAGGTAAATGATGGAGGAGCTCGAACTGTTTTTGTGTTACTGCAAACACCTATGCCCAGGAATCGACAGAACTCGATTTTTGAATTTCTCATTTACTGATTTCTGGTGCTTAATAGAACTTTAAAATCTGAAAAATCTTTGGAAGGTTTCTACAGATTAGAGACTTACACTTCGTTGTCGAATTGCTAGATTCTGGTTCAGCTCTGCTGTAGTTCTGCCAGATTCTAGGTGGATTCTGGTAGGAATAGAACTGGAGTTGTGTAGAAGGAGGGGGGGAGGCAGTTGCATGAGTAGCGATACTCTGAATTCTGCCACTTCTGTAATTTTCCATGGAACTGTGGAAATTCACTGCACTCTTTTTTTGTGGTTTTGGACCTGTTTAGATAGCAATTAAGGTGTGCGCAACAACATTTTTTCCAAATATAATTTATTGAGTAAGGTTAGCGTTAATACACAAGTTCTTCAAGCACTTTGTTCGACTAAATTTGTTTCATCCTACTGGTCTATAGATGAAAAAGCTGATCAAAGATTGCTAGATGAAACATTAAAATTATTTGGTCATGACAATTTTCGTCCACAACAGTTAGAGGCTATTGTGAATATTTTAC